GAGAGAGAGAGAGAGAGAGAGAGAGAGAGTTTTCCATCGAGGGGGCATGAGGAGGTTGCACAAGGGGGAGGAGGAGGTCCGAGGAGGGGGAGGAGTGGGTCATGCAAACGGGAGGAGGAAGTCATGGGAGGGGCACGAAGAGGTCGCGCAATGGGGACGAGAGGTTGCAGGAGGTCGTGCGGGAGGGGGAGGAGGTCGCACCGGTGGGAGGAGGAGGTCGTGCTAGGGGGAGGAGTTCGTGCCAATGGGAGGAGGGGGCCGCCAGGGAGGACGAGGAGGTTGCGAGGTAGCACAAGGGGGAGGATGTGTGCGAAAAACAAAAGAGAGAGAGAGAGAGAGAGAGAGAGAGAGAGAGAGAGAGAGAGAGAGAGAGAGAGAGAGAGAGAGAGAGAGAGAGAGAGAGAGTTGCCAACTGCCGGGCATTTTCCAAAGTTGGGTGGTATCCTGTACGGGCACATTGCAAAATGGGGTCCAACTGATGGCTGGGGCGTTTCGCAAAATGTTTTTGTCGTTGTCCTTCGCTGCGGCGGGTCCACTTGTTATTCATAATTTTTTATTTTATTTATTTACTAATTTTGTGTATGCATATGTTGCAGTATGCAGATCACAATCAAAAGAATGGATTGAAGTACCCGTTGTACGTGGCAGAGTTTGACATTGTGATGCAGGTGAGTGACTTGCGGTAATCAAGCCCGTTTCTCCAAAAAAAAAATTTTTTTTTCAAGGACTCTGTGTGTGTGTGTGTGTGTGTGTGTGTGTGTGTGTGTGTGTGTGTCTCCCCATAATTTGTTTTTGCCCCCCATTATCTCTTCGTGAAGTTTCTCTCTCCTCCCTCCTCTCTTTGTTCTTTATTTTGGGGTAGGCGATGGGAGGGAGGGGGAGTAAATTAAAGCAACAGCAAATCACATGCATGCAGAGCACATGAAGCACACAGAGTACGCAATGACGGGATGGGGATGGGGGTGATGGGGAGGAACTGCCACTTGATTACAGTTCGACAAGAACACCAAGGCCATCGGTTAAGACCCGACAAACAACCCCCATGGCTAGAGGCATGTGTGCAAGAGTGGGGTTAGGGGCCAATATTCTAGGCAGGGTTTCTTTCTGTTTATCCAAATTAGATTCTGCCACTACCGTCTTCACCCGAATAGAATGTATGGTCATTAATGCTCACTATTGCTGTATTTAGACTGAAAGTTGCCCCGAATTCAGCTATAATGACCATACATTCTACTCGGTGAAAGACAGTCGTTTGGGTTCGGAAGCCGGGCCATATTGTCACAAAACAGAAAGAGAGCCTGCAAAGTTGCAAACACTGCTATGAGCTTTCATACCCTTTTCTTTTTTCACCTGGGAGGCTGGCAAGCCCATCTGCTTCTCCTGCCTGTCCCTTTTTTCCCCCTTCTGCTTCTCCTGCCTATCCCTTTGTCCCTATGTAATCCCTTAAATCACCAGGACACTGTACACCCGGGCCTGGAGGTGCTCCACTGCATGACAAGCTTTGCTGAACCGCCAGTGGCACACATTTTGTCTCTTTGGGTGGTGCTGCCAGCCATTGTGGTCCGGTAGGCCAGAGCCCAAAATCTCCGGATGGGTGACAAGTTCATTTTCTGCAAGGCTGGGGCCATGTACTACCGTCTTCCCCTGAACATAACACACCCGGAAAACGAACGTATACAAGGCATGTTTCCGGCCCGATACAGTCAAAATGAGGGTGCGTTGTGTTCGGGGGAAGACGGTAGCGGTTTCAGCCGCCAGTGCATGGCCCCAGCCTTGTAGAAAATCGCGAGTTGCCAACTCTGTGCTTTTCGAGGGTAGCGGACCAGAATGGCTGGCGGCGCCAGCCAAAAAAGGAAAGAAGTGTGCCCCTGGCGATTTGGCCAAGCTTGCCTCGCAGTGGAGCGCCTCCACACCGGGCGTACGGGTGGTTTAAACCACCGGTGTCCAACTCGGGGGAAGACGGCAGACAACTGGCTTTCTCCATATTGTTAGAAGACATGGCAGGCATGACCAGTATAGCTTTGTGGGTACCACCCTCTGGACTGAAAGTTGGTGGCCTGAACATAGCCATAATGACCCTTCCTTCTCTTTCGAACGAAAAGACTAGTAGCTGTGAAATTGAGCAGAGGGGATCTCTAGTTTGTTCTTGGCAGAGGCAACTCCTCTGCACTTGAGGTTGCAGTTATCTCCATTATCTCCATGATGAAGTCATGAAATTGTGAATATTCACACTTCATTTGACGACATTTCTAATAATATGTAAGCTATGTGTGGTTGGTCTAAGGTTCTCTTGTGGTGGTTTATGGGTGCTTTTGTCCTGAGTGTGGCAGGCAACAAAGCTGGGTACGAACACATCGGATACATGCCTTCCTGCAGGCAATTGTCTTCCTCTTGGGGGCTACAGGTCAGCAGGAATTTAGTGTTTTCCGGCTTTTCCTTTATCCTCATGCTGAAACACCAAATTCCACAATTTCCTCGGACACATATTATGGCCTTTTTTAGTTCCATTTTCAAAATTTTAAATATAGATATTTTTTCTTTCTCTACTATTATTTTTCAAACAGGTGTTTCTTCTTCGTGTGAAGGCGGCATATTCAACCCCTGTCCACTTCCCGGCTTTCTTTCTTTCCTCTCTTCCTCTCCTCTTTTAAACTTCTTTCTCGCTCCCACCTTCCCGCCTTTCCTGCTGCATGTCTACCAGTCTATCCGTCTCTCTGTCCCTCCTTCCATAGGCCGATCCATCCGTCCATCCGTCCATCCGCCCGTCCATCTGTCAGTCTTATATGTCGAACTGTCCATCTGACCGAGAGAAAATCTAGAATTACCGTAAAATCTAGGCAGCGTAGCTAGATATCTGACGCGCTTTAAAACCTTGACAACCTGGAGACTTTTGAAGTTGTTTTTTTAAGCATGCGCGACCCTGGTTAATCATCCCCCCCTCCCCTCCTCCACCAAATCGGAGCCAGATTATCTGAAGCGGACATCCTCCCTTGATGCACGAAACTGCCGAGCTTAAAAAATAGAGAGGAACTTAGGAAAGGAATTGAAAAAAGAGAAGGGAAAAGCATCAGAGCGAGACGGTAAAATGATCAAGATGGGAAGAAACAACAACAGAAAATCAGGATGCGAGTTGAAGTCAATGGCAATGAGAAAACGAAACATGATGTGCAAATTTGTGATTGCAGTTTATGGGCGAGTGAGTAGTTGGGAAGTTAGGGTTTAGAGGAGA